AAGGTTAGTTGGATTTTTAGGGGAACTGGATAGTAGAAACTAAAATGCTTTTGAGACAGATAGTAATAGTCTAACAGTAAAACCTTGAAGTTCTCAGTTTTTTGTTTGTTTTCTCCACAGGTACTTGTAGAAAATGCCAAAGCTAATGGAGATGTTAGAGCTCTGGAACTAAACAAGAAACTGTCAGCAAGTGCTTAGCATGGACTGTTTCAAGTTTTTAACAAAAGAAAAAAGCAAAAAACAACTTCCATGTATACAATTTAATGAGGCCATCCTCCAGGAGCATATGTGGTTTGGACATTTTTTCTTTTGTTGTCTCTCTGCACCAATTGCAATTTTTTTTTTTTTTTTGCCCTCCCCCCCAATTCCTCGCTGAAGTAGCACCGCAATTGTGATGGGGAGTCCTTGTCTTTATTTCCCCCTTGGTCGCACACCGAGGATAATATTAGCTGCACTGGCAGTAACGCAAAGTTGAAGCTTCTACCTTTTTTGCTTGGAACAGAGCCTTAATAGCCAAACAGCAGCAAGCATGTTTTTTTTTCTCTCCCAGATATCATAAAACATGCAGAAATTTAAAATGCTAGACTCCTTTCATGTATTTTATTCTGTAGTTGAGACCCAAATCTACTTGGAACTTTGTGTGGTGTCAGTTTATAGAGTGTTTTTTTTCTTTTTAAGCTCTTTTTTTTTTTTTTTTTTTTTTTTTTTTTTTTGCTTAGCTAACCTTAATCACAACAGTGTATTGGATCCTCTTGACTATACAGGCTTCAGTGAACATTCCCATCAAGAAAAGCCTGTGATCATCAGGGACAGGTTCATATATATAAATGTGTATAACAGGCTCTATTTATGTCTTGGTAATTCTGCTGCTGACTACTTAATTGAGTGAATCATGACAGTGCTTCTTAATACATGATGTTATTTTGCCCTTTATGTACATGAAAATAAAAGAATAAAGCAATGATTCAAATCTGCTAGTGTTACTTGTTTCGAGCTTCTGACGATAGAGTCAAGATAGTTGTCTGTTCCTGGTTTAAAATTTCCTACAGCTGCCATCTGTATACCAAAATCATATAATGACTTTGAGGCATGTGCAGTGTACCTCATATTGCAGAGGAGAAAGGATGCTTCCAGTACATGCAGTGCACTGCTGAATTCAGCATATATTTGTTTTCGGGACTGGTTATATCGGACTTAAAGAAAGCAGCTGCTGAGCTGACAGGCGGGATGATCTAGGGGCTCCTCCTCTAGTACATCTCAGCTAGCAGTCACGCACAGTGATCCGTGGAAGGCAGGCAAAAGCATCAAGCTTGCCGCTGCTATTTTAAACAGGGAAAATTAAGCTTAATAGGCTGGGTTTCCTCCTCTGTGGAGGTGAGCTCTCTGAATGGTAAGAATCCCTTCTTGTCTCCCACACTTTCATTCTCCCACCCATCTCAATGCGAAATATCTTTCCTTAAAAAGATTTTTTTTGTTAAATCTAGACCACTTGTGATTCCCTTCACAGCCTGTTGTTGCGTAGTCTTGAACTATTAGTAACTCACAATATTAAAAAAAGAATGTCACAAAAGCCAGACTCGTGACTACCAAGATTAGCTAAACTTTTTTAAGCTTCCTGCAGTTAGAGCCTTGAAAGCTCTTACAGGCTATAGTTCATATCACTGTATATACTCTTGATATTTACGTGCTGCCTACTCTGGTGGTGGGAGAGCTGGCAGCCCTAGCCTGATGACGGCACAGTGACTGCCTGCCCTCCTTAGTGCAGTACGGAAGTGCTTCTGCTTCACTGTTAGACTATACTCTGTTCAGTACTAAACCTTAAACATTTTCTAATGCCTAGGGGAGCAAGCAAATAATGAGGCTAGAGAAGCCAGCTAAGTAACTGCCAACTGTGAATACTCTGTGTATTAAAAAAAAAAAAAAAATAGTACAATGTTTTCTCTCTTCAGAAGACCATAAAGTTACTTTATTTTTAATATGATTAGTGTTGAACTCCTTGAACAGGATAATGCGACTTTGGGCTGTATATATAATTATATGCCCTGCAGAAAGAATACACATCTCTACCACCTACTCAGTGAAAAGTATACTGGGAACATGATTTTTCCATTGAAGCTTTTGTGAAATTCAAGAAACTGTGAGGTAAAACCTTGCTTTCCTCTATTATGAATAATGTACAACCTCTACAAAACCAATATTTGCAGACGGCCTGCTGCACTACTGAAAAAATTCCAGAACTCATGCAGAACAGGATGAGGCAGTCCTATATTTCATACTAATGTAGAGTTCACCTTTATGCGTTTTTGTATAGTACTTTGAAGTCTAAGCATCACTGAGATGGAGAACAGAGTTGGCTTATGGATTTCACTAACTGGAAAGCCAAAGGCTTGGCTACTACTAGGGTAAGAGTGGGGAAAATAGACGTTC